GGCTTCCAGAATAATTTTATTTGTAGGTATCAGGAGGGATAGTCACGGTCTTATATGGCAAATCTTTAAAGTTAGTGTCCCCAATGATTGTTTTCAACCCCTTCCCCTTGATTATGGTTTATTCACCAGTATGTGAAGATTGAACAAAAGAAGATCATTTAACCTTGTTTTGGAGAGCGGGATGAAAATATGAAGGGAGAAAGATGCTGCACTATAAGCAGCCAAGAGATGGTGCGCAAGAGCAATTCAGGGCATCTGTCTTGTCAGAGGTCTCTCTGTTATTACGTGAAGTGTCTGTGTTCAGCACCTTTTCTAAAGTCTCACTAGAGATCAGGAGTTAGGGTGAATCACACTCAATGATCTGTCATACTAAGAACAGCAGTGTGCAAATGGGTGTAAACTCTTTCCCTGCCCCAAAATAGCCATGTATACTCATTTTCCCTGCCCCAGATTAGACATGTGCTCTTTGTTAGGTGATGCCAATAATCTCAGGCACCACATTACAGTTGGGCCATACACTACCTCAAATCAGCAGACAGCGAGACATATTTCCTTAGTTGTAGGGATATGGACATTTTGATTCTATATAGGGCTTCCATGCTATTAACTACAAATAAAATGATGTTTCATATTGGCAACTGACATCGACCTAAATAGTGGTGAGTCCTACACAACCGCCAACCTGCCTCTCACTGGATCCTCAAACATCCATTCTCCTATAGCAATAATCTTTCTATTTGATGTAGTGCCTTATGTTATCAAAACAAAAAGCACAGTCACTCCACTTTACAGTGTAACCTGTGAAGCGCTTTGAGACATCTCAACAACGCAATGCAAGGATTATTATTATTATTAAGACATCATAAAGTGCTTCACAGGATATACTGAAAAGTGGTGCGACTATTTTTTGGGTGAATACAGCAGCCAAAAAACAGGAATGTCCTTTAAACAGCCATGGAGTGTAATAATAAATAATAATAATAAACCCAATTCAATTTGGGGGATTGTAGGCAAGGACACTGGGAGAAACTCCCTTCCCATTCCCAGTAAGTGTCAATTTCCTATCTCAATTTTCCCCAGATCTAACCATTTTACAATCTATTGCTTACTGTATTATTGACCTCTGAAAACTAGGCTAAGCAAATTTGAGGGGTGGGGTAGAGTTATAAAAACAAAGTTTACATTGGATTGGGTTGTTTTTGGAATGCCAGGTTTGTCCACCAAACAAAATGTGATAAAGTATGACTTTAAAACACTAGTAAATAATGACGACAGCTCATCATCCATTAAAAGAAGCTCGACTCTGAACCAAATGTGTAGTAAACAGATATGCTTTGCTTTACAGCCTCTGAGGGCATCTGTTTGTAAATTTCCTAATAATGTAATACTAGGTTCATTCAGATTACACACAATAAACAACCATTTATTTAAAAAAAGCTGAATTTAGCAACACTATTTTAAAAATGATGAGCAGCAATGACCCCGAGCTTTACAATATCGATGCCCTTTATATGAAGACAAGCATTTAATTTTACAAGGGTTTCCTGACACAATGATGAATTCGGGACCTTGGAGCTTCAGTGCGTGTGCTGTGTGTGTCCAGGGAGAGAGGCTCTGCTTTCAAAGCACTGGACCACAGGGTGGAGAATCTCAGTCATCTCTCTACATCTCTACGTCAGACACTGCCACCACCAGAGAAGCAAAGAGAATCGGAGGGTCAGGACTGGTAGAACCAATGTACCACCTTGCAGCTGGTCAAAGAAGGACCTGGCTAGTTATCAGTCCCCTCCCCCATTCCAATTGGATGGAGTGTGGTGTGAGTATACCAAGAACTAAAAGTAGATTTATCCACAACTGTTTGTTGTCCATTGCTGTGCGCAATTAGCTGCCAGATTTTGCCCACAAAATATGCACTCGATTCACTTTATAGTATATTCTGTGAAATGCTTTGAGAAGTCTCAACAACATGATAAGGCGCTATATCAAATGCAAGGATTATTAGGATTATTAAGAGGAAGTCCTGCTTCCAAAGAAGAAAGACAAGCAAAATGCAATAATACTCAATGGACGATACAGCAACAGAAGTCTATTTGCAGTATCATCCAAATAACTCTTACAATCCAAATTAGTCATTAGTCATTCCAATGCATCAGTGTAACGGCAGCTAATAGGAAGTGAGGCGGACTGTTCTTTTTGTAAGGGAGATAGACATGTGGACAACAAACTACCAGCAATGGTGGTGGCAAAATGAACTATAAACTGGTTCCAAAAAAGAACCAGACAAGTTCCTGGAAATTAGAAAGAACTAGATTTATTGGGTCCTAAGGATTCTTTGGGGAAATTGGATGGTACTCGATAGACCAATGGATAGACAAACACACCAAGTCTGCTCCTGTCTAAAATTGTTCAGTAATACTGTACAGTAATATACTACTATAAAATAGTGGTGTACACACACCACGCACACAAATGCTAAAATCAAAATAGTAGTAAAGACTAAAACTTGAGATAAAACGACCCTTTTCTTAGTCCCCCTGTACAAGGGAGCCCCCCCCTTCCCCATTAGCACTTATATTATACAACATGAAACGCAAAACTCTGCACCTCAAGTTCCTTATAGGTCAGTGACATCCAAGTTACCAAGTTTCACGTTTCTGCATCAGATTTGCACTTTACCAAAGCTATTGACTGGGTGAGCAGAAGCTGGTTTAAACAGTTAGGAAGATTGAGTTAATTAATTAGTATTGAAGTAGTATTTTTTTAATTTAGCACCTTTTTTCAAATTAAATGTGATTAAGGAAGCACACCCGCAATTCTGTTGATCCTGAAGTAATCCCCTATTCATCTGGCGTCTGGTTCAGAGTCAAACGTGATGACCCCGCCATCATAGATTGAAATGTAATTAAGTTTTTTTTATTACAGATTTGTGTTGGCTGTAATTTTTTTTTATATACTAGGTCTTGAGAATGACTGTGGCTTTGTATTCTGTAATCCCTTCCTTTAGAGTGTTCCTTGCATTTGATTTTTTCCCCTGTCCTACTACCCATACATGCGTGCATCCATTCCCCCCCTCCACCCCTCTGCTCCCATTGAGGGGGACATTAGAGACCTGCCCTCGCGTTGTTTTTCAAAGCTACATTGCCTCGTTAATAATCTCACTGCCTCCAACAATACATCACTTTGGCAGTGCCTTTAGTCAACATCTTTGAATCCCTCATTCTCCACTCGATGTCCGCCACTATCTTTGCCAACCACTTTCAGATGTTCCTTAACCATGCAAGGTGCTGATTTAACAACAAACAACAAATTCCAGCGATATAGCGCCCTTCAGAATACTGTGTACAGTCCTGGTCCTGCAGTCCAAAAAGAATATTGGAGAAATCGAGAAGATACAGAGGAGGGGAACCAAAATGACTGAGGGTATGGAAGGACTGGAATATGAAGAGCGACTAAGTAAATTAGGCATGTTCACGCTGGAAAAGAGAAGATTGGGAGACTATATGATGGCTGTCTCTAAGATTCCAAAGGGGCCAGACAATATAGATCATGACAGGCTGTTTCAGCTTGTCCAGAATAGTAAAACCAAAGGACATGGCCTACGATTGAAGGGGGGGAAATTCAGAATGAATCTACGCAAACTCTATTTTGGTGAGCGAATAATGAACTTATGGAACAGGCTCCCTAGGGAGACGGTTGAAGCAGGAAGTGTTGATTCTTTCAAACACAAATTAGATAGTTTTCTTTTAGGAAACAACGTTATGGGATATAGTACATAGGTAGTTTGGGACATATGTGCATGTGACCGCCAGGAAGGTGGAGTAGATGGACCTTAGTCTTTTTATGTCTAGCATTTCTTATGTTCTTCATGTCAGGCGGACATCCCAAGGCGCTGGACAGGGAAGTATTTGGACCCAAGCTGGGGTCTGGAATCAAGATGGGTGGAGGGCAAGGGGGATGGTGGTGGGAAAATGACCAAAGGCGCGGTCGAAGAGAAAGGACTTGAGACGGGATTTGAAGTAGGCAAGGGATGGGACATGGTGAAGGGTTTCTGGGATGGAGTCTGAGTGGAGGGGTGTAGGAGAATGGGGTGGGGGAGCAGAAAGGCTGAAGGCCTGACCTCCAATGGTGGAGCAGGTCTAGCAGGAGCCATGGAGCAGGCCAGTGTCGACCCAGTGGAGGGAGCAGGCAGGTTTTACTCTTTTTTTTAAAAAAATACAAAACATACAAAAAAAACTTGCACATTAACATGATTGATTCATTCCACCAAATGTACACATTTAACCCTGAAGGATGTAAACAAATCATAACTAGCTTGATTTTCTTATTCAGTCACCAATCCGAATTCAAAGATCAGTTTCATCTTTCAGCTCAGTTTCATCTCTGGATCAGAGAGCTGTGGGTTTGAGCCCTACACAAGGATTTGAGCAAATAGTCCAGGCACACACTCCAGTGCTATACTCAGGACTTCTTTCATTGTTGGAGAAGATAAAAGTTAAACCTAGGTGACAATGTGGTCCATGTGGATATTAAAGATCCCACAGCCCTATTTCACAGCTACCCCTTGTCCAATAGTCAACCTTCACCCAAAGTCACACCTCTATTTTATTTCGTTGCTGTGTGTGTGGTACACTGCTGTTGCATTTATCTCCATAAGTCACTACACTTCAATTGATTCACACCAATTCCATTACGTTTTCTAGGGGGGAAAAAATGACGTAGTGCTCTATATCCAACGTAAAGATTTGTTTTATGTTAGATAGTTAGAGCTACTTGCAGAAGAATCTCAAAGGGTCAATATAAAGGTTAAGACCGCCTCTGTTATTGAGACACATTTGTTATTTCCTAAATGATTTGCTTTTTTAAAAAAAAACTACTGTATATTCAGATAAACATATATATATAAACATTGAATACTGTGAAAATCTGTACTCTCCCTGCCTGCTTTCCCACCAATCCTCTTTTCAACTTGAACAATAAACTTTGCACAGAGCTCTATTTACCCAGTTCATCCCAGAGCTGCCTATACTTGTCAGTCATTGCTGTTCCTTGTTGCCTCCACAGAGAAAGTCGAGGGTCAGCCATAAACTGCTCCGTTATTAACGTCAACATCCGAGCGCCGTTTGAATCCCTCATCTTCAACATCTCCCGCACCTGTCGGATAGATACTTCATTAAAGCACAAGCGCCAGGCAGCACAAACATATTTAATCCATTCCAATTCTCCCAAGCATATGTTGCCTTGCGTAGGGTTGGGGTTGGGGAAAGGGGGCTCTTGTCACCAATATTTGAAGTTCAGATGCTCTCCTGCATTGAGAAACTGTCAGGCTTAAACCAGGCAGTTTTATCATGAGGCACTGCCTTCAGACTGAACCATTAGCGAGGAAGAAAGAGACTCTTAACTACATCTAAAACAAGCCATTGGAATTTTGTTGGCCAGAATCATTTTGAAATCGATGCTGGAACGCTCCGCACCACCACCACCACAAAAAAAAACTAGGCTTGTTAATTGGCAATGAACTCAAGCCACTGCTATAACACAGCTTCTTCCTCCCTGCGAGCTCCATGCTTACAGCGTTGCTGCTGGGGTATTGCTGTTAGCATGCATAAGGGCGCGGACCACGGAAATGGGAATTTGTGTAATTAGCTGCCGAGGTTACTGGAGATGTAGAAAGGATTCACCTCCTGGAGAATTAAATATATAAGGGGGTGGGGATTCTGCTCCATTCCCCAAATTTAACAAATATTGCATTGCTAAGTGTGTAAATATAAATGTGATTTGCTACATTTAGTGAACAGAGCAGACCACCCCCTTTGCTCTCCATGACAAACAGTAAAAACAAATACCCATATGATTCATGACATGAATACCCGCTTAAACAAGTACAGTTTTGCACAATAAGTTTGTGCTTCTGAATTATGGAGGATTTTATGAAATTTTCTTTTTTTTAAATATTAAAAATACATCTGAAGATGCCCTGCTAAGAGGCCGGGCGGACATCCAACCAGCTTCCAGGACTTTCTATTGATGCTCGAAAACCAACCACTAGGAGGTGCATCAGCCTGGTTTAAAGTGACTTTTCCCCTCCTTCGCTATGAGGAAGTGCCTGACCTGCACTTAGCCTTTCCTCTGCAAAGCGCAACGAAACAAGAGCATCCAGCCTGGGAGACAAGGCGAGCAGGAGTAAAAGAATCGAGGGAACAAGGACGCTAATCCGCGTGCCACAAATCGAAATATCCCACATCTCTGCACCACCTGCACTTTGTCAATATACCCACCTGTGTGAAATTTCACAACATAAACAGGCTATTATAGTTCTGACAAACACGTTGCTACTGCTGTGATTTGAACATTTTCAGCTATACAAATATGAGCATTCACACAAAGATGAATTGAATATTGACTCTTCAATTTATAATTTAATAATTAGAACTCTTTTAGTCGACTATCTCCTCCTCCCATGCCCCCATAGTAAAGAAATGTGTTTCATTCTGAAACTTTTTTCAAAAGTGGAGTCAAAATAGAGTCTTTGAACCTTGGGGAAAAAAAATCTTAAAGAAAAAAAAATGGCATAATTACACTTTACAATTGATATAAAACACAATAAAGGGATCACTGTAGAGACAGTGAAGTCAGTGTATCTACATAGTGTGTATGGAATTGCAGGACTGCTTCAAAGCTGATGATGCACATAAAAGATGCACAAACCATTAGAGACGGAACCACTAAGGCTTCCTCCTCTTTCGTATTAACTGTTTCTGTATACAATTCAGGGTGTACGGTTATATTTAGCACCTTTAAGGGCTTTTGAGGACATCAATCGGGAGCTGATTTTGAAACTTGAGTTTAATGCAGGTTCAGCTTATCAATTATCAGCATTGTGTCAGATAGAAACAGTTGAGTCGAGCATTGATGAGTTTTGATGAGAGTGCATTTGTGTTCTTTTTAAAAAAGTCAACTTACCTACTTTTTTGGGGGAGTGGGGGAAGGGAGAATAATTGCCTTAAAAAATGTACGCGTCCCCCCCAAAAAAGTGGCACTTCTGAAATAAAACCATGGAGGGGTATTGTTTTAACTGCTTATGCAACACTGTGACAAATGAGCATTATTTGTGTGTATGCAGGCTGTAAACGCATATGTATACAGCCCGCGTACACACCTTAACCTCCGCTCACACAAACACACCCTAATACACATACTCACACATTCTAACACACACAACTTACACTTGTTTAGCGCTTTTCAACGTCAGGAGGACACACAAGCTGTGGGATAAGACAGACGTGTACAAATCCATACCTTTGCAAACAACAAGTTCAGCTGTTTTCCAGATCCATGGTAACCGCCCTGGGAGAGGAAGAGTTTAACCTGCTCCTGAACCTGCTCCTCATCCAGGTGCCAGCAGTTCTCATCGTCTATACTGGCTCCTGCTGTTGGATCCGGGGCACCTTCAGCCAGCAAACAAGAAACCTCTTTAGCCATTTTTTAAAAAAACAAATTCCAGTGTAAAGAAAAATAAACACATCCGAGGATCCATCAATAATTCTAGCATCAAAGTGCACTCTGATTCCCTTGCTCAACAACAATTTCCTATGGCACCCTTCACTCGTTGTAGCGTCTCGGAGTCTGACACCGAGGTCGAGGGAGGTGACCGTAAGCAAGGGGTCGAAGAGGAACCCTCCTCTTCGAATCTGAAAATGGGGAAGGAGTGGGCAGGGCGAGGGATTGAACGAGACAGTTCCAAAGTGGCTGAAAGCATGGTCGCCGATGGTGGAACAGAGGAGATGAGAGACAAGCAGGAAGCCAGAGCCAGCCAAGCGGAGGCGGCGGGTAGCGGAGTAGGGAGTAAGCAGGTGGAAGGGATGCCCCGTTGTTTGGCAAAAACTACAAATGCACAGTCACTACATGTGACACTAATTACTGGGAATTAATGGGAAAATTGGTGGTGAATGGGAAAATGTTTCCTTCTCCTATTTTTCTCCCCAGCCCGCTATGTTCTCACACAGAAAAAAAAGGTCAAAAATAAAAATGCTGTGCACAACAAGTGGACCAGGACTTGGAAAAATACCATGGAATCAAGAGTAAAGATGTTGGCAGGCTGGAACCCAAGCCTTGGCCTTTCCTACAGAGCAACAGCCAGCAAGAGCAGAGGTTAAAAATCTCAATCTATTGGCGTCTAAGCTGCGCTTTACCAGTTAGGTTCAAATGGTGAAATTCAATGAGAGGGCAGATGAATAGGAAAAATAGTTCCACAAATTAGGACAGGAAAACGGGACAAGGAGGCGAGAGACACACAGAGGAAAGAAAAAAGCGGTGGGTGGGGGGGAACCAAAATTGCAGTGACTAAATGAAATACAGGAAATAGGACTCGGTAATGAAATGTGAGGGGGGGGGATATTAAAGAAACCAAAAAGAAAACCAACAAAAAAAGAACTCTGCATTGTTGCACATCCTCTTCAACCAACAGACCTGCTGACAACACAAACCGTTTTGCCACACTGACTGATTAAAATGTACCATTCCAGAACTCACCCTGACAACACATCAAATCAAAAAAAGAAGCTTCAACGAAGACTTCACTTGAACCTAAAACCACACTGAGATGCTCTGAAGACACATTGGTTAATTCTATGCATTTTAACATTGTGTTTCTAGAGTGGAAGATGGCTGTGAGCCACACACTATCCATTCATAATGAGCTGCTCGGTATTCTCAGATGCACAGCTCAGCTGAACAGTCCTTCACAATATGTTGAAACGGAACCGACAATTTTGTAGCTGTAAAAGCGTGCGATGGGAAAGACATCTCTACATAAACACACACACACAAACAGCACGTATATTCACACACAAAGTGCATATGATATATAAAAACAAAACAAATACAAGGTCAAAATGTGGGAGCTACCATGCACTTGATTGATTTCAGAGTTGAGGGAGAGGATTTCGTCCGCTAGTTTCTGGGCAGTAGGCAGGACTTCCGTGTGATGCACTGTGATCAAATACTGAACAAATTTCTGCAATTGGTCTCGGTTCATCTGGAAAAGTGTTTCTGAAATAGGAAGATGCAGCTTGACCTGATCCGGCTTGCGAATCCGGTATAGCGAGAGGGCTACGACGTGTGCACAGTAAAAGATGTCCTTATTTCCACAGCCGCAGGTCACTGAGGTAATTTTGCAACGATCGAAGCTGATAGCAACGTTACAAACAGTTTCTGGCTCCGACTGCGTTGCGGGTTCGGTTACTGTACCACTTAAGTGGAATCCTGCAGAAAAACAGAAAAGATTTTATGAGCAACTCAAATAAAACTGATTCCCTTGCCAAGTACCATAATTCCAGGGCAATTACAATTGCACAATGCAGGTACAAATTTCTCTCTTATATCACAGGAAAGGTCAACACTTAAAGCACGACTGTGGGAGAGAAAATAAATGAATCAAGACTTGATTTCTCAAACATTCTCCTCTAGCTGGCTTGACACTCCACACACGACAGCTCGTCCAGAATGACACAGTTCATATCCTCTCCTAACTCAGGTTGCCTTTCATCTCCATTCTCACCGGGCTTCACAGACTTCCTACCCCCCAGCAGGTCAATAGAATAATCTTCACTCCGACTTTAAAATCCCTCCATGTTTTTACCCCACCCCTGTGCCAACTCGGGCCTGTTGCTCACCACTTGTTCCCTCCATCCTACCACTGACTATAGAGCTATCAAACTCTACGCCCTGGCACTTCGAAACCATCCCGAAATTCATCTCCCTTGCCCCCTCCTTGTATTCAAACATTTTTTTAAACAAAAAACACCCTCAGTCATCTCCCTCCTCCCCCCACTCCCTTCGGTAGAATGGTTGAGTTCAGCCTGAAACTGCACACCACTCTCCAAGAGTGGCAACACCCAGCCAACAGGGGCTGCTGAGACTTCAGGTCCAACCACGGGTGTCACCTAATTTGCGATACGATAAATATCAATCTCAGGTTGCAAGTTTCATCCCTATATTTTATTGGAAGGTAGAGAGAGGGGAAAAAAAAGAGAAAACAGAGTTTCTGCAGGAGCAAAGTAATGGGTTAAAACTCTCAGCATCACACAGGTGTAGAAGCTATCACCCGATAACATCAAGTGGCTCCAATCCGTTACTAAGTTAAACAGTGTCAAAAGCATAGAGTTGCACGTCCCTTATTTCACACCACACTGCTGCAGGAGTCAGACGCTGCCACAAGTGGGAGGAGTTGTTCCAGTTTCAGGCAGCGAGGGATGCTCCCAAACTGTCAGAGATAGCACTGGTCCCGGGTGTCGCTCAGGAACCAGCTGCTCACCTTCAGCCAGAGAGCAAAGAGAGCCGAGCCCTTCAAGCGGAATGTGATTCCAGGCCCTTCTCCAAAACAAATAGGATCTGGCGTTGGTAATCACGCTTCTCTGAGAGATGGAGGGGGAAAAAAACAAAACAATCTGTTCCAAATATTCTGCCTTAGCAAAATGTCAGTGAGACCATCTTGGCATAATCCTCACAACAAATCTGTCTTTCCACCTGTAATTTAACATTTTTTTCCCCAAGGAGAGAGAGGCAAAGGGTAACACTGCAAATGGATTCATGTTTAAAACATTTTTTTATATTAAAAAAACCCATGGCAAGAGGATTTGATTCAGGCACAAAAACATGCACAGAATATTTATAATCTTTAGGTGACTCAGGATAGTTAACTGGAGCGCAAACTGCAGACCATCCAAGACCAGGCACGAGGGTGGTTTATGGGCCATGGATTTGCACCTGGAACGGTCAAGGTTGATTTGAAAAAGAAAACGTGTTAAGCAGCAAGCTGTGTTATGCTCAGCATCCAAACAAGGATATGAAGTCATGTTAAAGAGTGCAGTCAGTCACTTTAAATTCCATTGGCAAAGCTGGAATACAGTGAAGGCAATTACAGTGAAGCAGACATTCAGTGTTGCCCAGCTCTGATCCGAGGTTTCTCCAGTTTAATACACCTGTTGCGACTGTACAATCGTAATATTTGAAGATTAAATAAACGGCAAACAACGAGAGATGAGGCTAACGGTCATCACAAGTCGAATAAAATTCCTGTTCCAGAAGTTTAACATAAGAGCCTAATGAAATGTTTAACTTGAAAGCTCACTCTCCTCAGCACTGAGTGTTTTCTCTCTCTCTTTCTCTCTCTACAGTGCTGAGTGTTTCTCTCTCCTTCTCGTCAGTGGTAAATTTCTTATTCTCTTCACAGACAATCATTTGGACAATCACAGAACCATAAAGCGTTTTACTGCACAGAAAGAAAGAAACTATTCAACACCCCACCCCCCATGTCTGCTGGTGCTAGCTGTACTGAAGCCATCTTCTTGTATACTGTAGCCTTGTCACCTTCAGTGTTATTTTTTTCCTTTGGTAGTTATACAATTTCATTTAAAATGCTCTTGTGAACTATTTGGCAGACGTTGGTAGTAAATGGGCACAATGTTATGCACCACCATTTAAATCTGGCACAATCATCATTCAGAGGCAACAGTGTGTTGACCCATGCAAGGCTGAGCTGAAACCCACTAAAGATCCTCGAAATGTTACATGAAAGCTTGCCATACCTTCGGCTTCTTTTGAAGTGCAGGTGGTTATCCACAAATAATATTCAAAGTTCACACGACCACGTTTGCAGTAAAACGTTAAAAACTCGCACGCAATAAAACATTGATGCCAAGTTTCTATTACAGTTTACTTGAAGCGTTTGGACTGAAGTCCAAAATAACTTTTGCTACTGTTGTAGAAAATAAGACTTAAACTAAAAACACTAGTCTGTCAAAATAGTTAGAATCATTAACATGGTGCAAGGCAAGACTCCAGTTGGATCCACCCCACAATAATAAACAGCCCATCATCAATCCAGAAGTGATTATCAGAGTCCAAATTTGTGTTTTTGTGATATATAAATGGGCGTCTTCAAAAGCCTCCAGCAGAGTTGCCAGCGCATTGGTTCTCGGTAAATGCAACCACTGTGCAAAAGGCGTTTGTGTCAGGCTATCCTTGTCCAGCCCGCAATCATCCCTCCGATGAGGTGAGTGTTGTGAGTGATTTGAGGCACCCCAAAACACATTCTGTGATCCCTAATCCCTGACTGTTCAGCACCTTGGGACATCCTCCCGACGTGAAACTCGCTTTACAAATGTAATTTTGTTGTTGTTTCCTGCCAAGTGAAAGCACGCCCTTTTTTTTGGCAGTGACACAGGGTTGATACAGCTAGAGAGATTTTGGACACCACAGTTATTTTCCAGGCGTATTGTGAAAGCTTGTCTACAGAACTTTTCTCAATAGCCATGCATTGGAACAGGAATAACCTGACACCTCACTTCTTCTCAATGTAAGCAAATCTCAAAATTAGTCCCAACTTCGGTTCACCCCAAAACAGAAAGGCTCTTAACAATGACAGCCTTGCTCTGGACGGATGTTCTGTAATTTCAGACAGACGAGCATTTCCTCTGCTAGCTGCCATTCACCCACTTTTATTTCTGCAGTTGTGCATCTAACTGAGACTGCATCGCTTGCAGGACAAATGGGAGCCAAATGAGCAGGGTTTGACCACCTCACATCACCTGGTGGAACCGGTTTCAGGAGCAGGAAGGGTTTCACACATTGCAGCATAAACACGTCAGGTGTGAATCCCACTGTGAGTCACTGCTGAAAACTCTCTGGCCCCCCCAGGATTTATAAAGGTTTATTTTTTTTGGAAAATAAATTAACAACCATCTCTTTACAATGTTTACAAAGATTAATCCCCAAATCGGTCGATCTGCACATGAACCTCATTTAAAGAGTTAAAGAGATCCAAAATTGAGCGGGACACCAATAAAAATTGAGTTTCACCTCCCCAATGATATACTGCCGGGAGGGAAGCTGCTTCATTCCAGCCAGGACAAATGCATCATTATACAGCACCATGAAGCAATTTTCCAGGCTACACTTATAACCAGCTGCATTTCACATTAACTATACTCTGAGTGTTATGTTGCTGTGTTTCTGCTTTGTCTTCATCATGTGGTTTTGGAGATCACAATAAAAAAAACTCAAGTTGTAAGGCTACAAGAAATCAATTTTCACCCTTCATGTACTGAAAGGCAAATGAAGAGAAATATACCCTTAGCGGTAAAGTTCTTAAACGAATGATAGAAATCTAAAAAGTCTGTAGCAGTAATCGAGTATACAAATGTTTCACGAAGATGGAATGCAAATAGGCTGGTGCAATAAAAATGGAAATCGAATTCTGGACTTTAAATACACGTATACAAAGGACAAAGCAAGGAGGTCATGTTAAATGTGTAAAAGACATTGTTTAGGCTACACATGGGAGTAATGCATTCAGCTCTGGACTCCACATTACTGAAAGGATATTGGAGTCATGGACAGGATACAGCGGAAATTCACTAGGATAACGCGTTATAGTTGTGTGGAGAGATTTTAAAATCAGCACTCTTCACAGGAACAGAGAAGGTTCTTAAGATTTTTCTTTTGTTTTAAAAAAATTCTGAAATTAAATAATGCAACATACAATACTTACTCTTAATTTCACAGCACCGTACATCCTGCTGAGCTTTTCAAACTTACTTTCTCCCTCTTCTTGCTCAGTCTCTTAGTCTCCCAGTCTGCGCTGCACACTAACTGCAATTAAGAGGTTATTGACTGAGATGCCTGATCTTCCTCTTCGACCTCACCTTGCAGGCGGTCACCTCCCCCCACTCCCCTCGGCGTCAGGCTATGTCACTGTTAAGCGCTCCGAGACACTGCCCCGCGTGAAGGGTGCCATATAAATGCAAGTTGTCGTATTGAAACAACAGACTCCACCACTATCTCACCCCTCAGGCCACTGAAACTTGTTTATGCCTTCATCACTTCCAGGCTCCACTATGCAAACACCCTGATTGTTTGGCCTTCCCAACTCCTCCCTCCACAGGCTACAGATAATCCAGAACTCTGCAGCCCATGTCCTCTCCCGCACCAAACTCCGTGACCCCATCTCCCCCACTCTCGCCCGACTCCACTGGCTCCCTATCCTTCAGAGGATACAGTTCAAGATCCTGGTCCTCATATACAAAGCCCTCCATGGCCTCGCCCCAACCTATCTCTGCGACCTCCTAAACCGTCCGCTCAGCCGGCTCTGGCCTACTCCACATCCCCCGACCCACCCGCCCCACCATTGGCGGGAGAGCCTTCAGCCACTCTGCCCCAAACCTCTGGAATTCCATCCCCCAATCACTCCGACTCGCCCCCTC